ACCCGCGCCGGGCCCCCGCGCCGCTCCCGAGCTCCGGGCGCGAGGACGACGAGGCCGGGCCGGGCTGCGGCTAAGGGCGCGCGAGCTCTGCGCTTCTCCCCTGCACGGAGCTCCGACGCCGCAGGGGCGTCGGGCTTCTGGTCCTGGCTGTGCCTCTGACCTTCCGTGACTTCGGGCAGGGGCCCATCTCCGCACACACACGTGCACGCTCGCTTCTCGGTTTCCCCAGGGAATGACAGTAGTAACCCAGGAAGGGCAGCAGCGTCTGCTGGGTGCTTGCGTCCGGATGCATTTCAGTCCTGAGAACGGAGCCTCCTCCGCAGCCTCCCGGCTCCCGTCCCCGGCCCGGGGCAGGCTCCCGGGAGGCGCTCGCCGGACCGACGCGGTGTTTCGGGGCCACCAGCGCTGAGGCCGGCGCCGCGCGTTCGGACCGCCAGGGGGCAGCAGAGGGCCCCGCGCCGGCAGGGCTGGGATGTGGCGAGGGACGGCAAGGTGGGGTGCAGGGAGACGGGGCGCGGGCCTCGGGGGCGCTCTGCTGCAGATCTCAGCCTGCTCCTTTCTCCCAACCAGAGATGCTCTGTGGCCTGGAGGATTCTGCGGCCACGGGCTGCCCCCAGGGCCAGGGTCTCCCCTCCCGCCATAGCATTTTGGGTCTGCCCAGTTCCCTGAGCCATTTTATAAGTTGAGGAAGCTCGCACTTAAAGCCAGAGTGAGCCCAGAAAGGCCCTGGGAGCAGGCACAGTCTCCTGTCTTCTCTGGGCCCGTTTCCTCTTCTGGAGGATGGTGCTTCGGTTTTGAGATTGCAGATGAGAACGTGCACCTTGGGAGGGCGGGGCCTGGTAACAACAATAACAACAGTATTGAGAGGGGAGTGGAATTGAGGGGTAGGAGAGCTCTCAGGAATAAACCAGGTTGATCAGTAACCAGTAGTGGGTTGATACTGCTGACTGGAGCAGGCTGTCTGGAGTTTATGCGAAGCACTGTGGCTGGCTGCAACAGGCAAGGCTGAGCTGTGTCTTGCTTTGGCCACGTCTGATTCAGACGCCATTAGCTGGCACCACCCACTCACCTGGGTTATGGTGCTCCTGGGCAGTGACCTGGGTGTCAGACCCCCCAACCACCCACCCACCCAGGTGTCTGCAAAGGGCCTGTGGGACCTCATTCGCCTAGGGAGGGCCTCTCAAAGGTCATCTCACACCCTTGACAAAACAGCATCAGCTCACCAGGGCCCCTACGTGCCCCGGAGAATGTTTATTGAGTACCAGGCACTAAGTAACGCTGTCCTTCCTCGCGGCAGCCTTGAGGAGTAGGAACTATATTACTCTCTCAATTTTTCAGATGGAGAAACTGAGACAGAGGGAAGTAGCTTGTCTGGGGTCCCACACCCAGTAGCTGCAGGACTGAGACTTTGGGTCTGCGGGGTCAGGGGCAGGATGGGAACCCTGGCTGCAAAGCCCTCCAGGCCACAGGGCCGGCACTAGACCTCCTGGCTAACCGCATACTCCCCTCGCTCTGCCTGTGGCCCATCCCCACCCCCATCCCCACAACGGTGCTTGCTGCAGGAGCTGCAGGGTCCTCAGCTCAGCTGGGCCTGATCCAGAGTCCCTGCCTCTCCCGGGTCTCACTCGTACAGTCAGATATTTCAGACACACAAGTCATACAGCAACACCCAAAGGCTCGCCAACCAGACCCAAGGAGTGTCAAAGACCCCAGGACTGGCTCAGCTTTCTAGTGTCATCCTGCAGGAGCTACTTGCAGGTCAGCTGGGCTGGGCCCCACTCTAGGTTCTTGCCCCATTGATGCTCCCCTCCTTGCCTTCTGAGGGGTCTGTGGGAAGGAACCGATCTCTTGCCCGGCACAGGGCTGCTGTGTGCAGTGGTGCCAGGCATTCTGTGAAGAAGGGGCCAGTGGAGGGTGCAAAGGGGGACAGTCAGGGAAACTGGCCGGCATCAACCCCGAAGGTGCCGCCTTCCTCTGCCTCTCACTGTGGCACTGCTTGGACCACTGGACTCTGACTCGGGAGGACCGATGGCCGAGACTGGAATGCAGGGGGAATCCCACATAGCCATACCCTCCTGGGCCTCTAGTTCTGGGGGAGGGAAAGTTGATAAGAGTAGCAGGTCTGAGAGTGCCAGGGGCAAGGATCATAACCCAGCTCTCTCTGTGGGGCCAGGGGCCAGGACCCATCCTGGATTCAGAGCCACCACTCCCTCCCCTGGCCAGTGTCAAGGCTGAGCCTGGCATCACTCCTCCAGGCTCCTTACAGCTAGTAAGTGTCAGTGGCAGGGACTGACCTAACCTAGGTCTCAGCCACAGCAATTCCTGGTAACTTCTGGGCACATCACCCTGCCCTAGAGATTCTGGGTTATGAAGACCCGAGCCTGACTGACATTCCCATGCCCAGTGCCCCAAAGTACCTGCGTGGCTCTGGGACTTCACTCTTGTAAGAAGCAAGCAGAGGTTACACTTCTGGAGCTTGGACTGCCTTGTTTCCCCCCTCTTGGCTGTTTTTTTTTTTTTTAAGGGCATCTCTTTCTTCTTATTGCAAAAGCAATAAATACTCTCTCTTTTAAAAAAAAAATCCAAGCCATTTCAGAAAGGAGCTATGTGAAAGCAGTGCTGGATTAAGGTCTCCTGGCACAGCTGGGACAACCGAGCCAGGGGTGTCCCACCTCCCCTGCTCTCAGCCTCATGGAAGAAGCCTAACCAACCACCCCACGCAACTTTATTCATCCACGTGTCCTTTCTTCTTCCAGGTGTGACTACACTAAGCCCTGTCTTGGCTGACCTATCAGAGTGGCCAGGGGGGGCCCAGGGTCTGAAAGATAAGCAGGGCAACTTGCAACCCACAGAGCCGTCAGCCAGTCTGGCCCCTGTGGACACCCCGGCCCACACTGGAGGGGTTGTGCAGCCCCGTCTCCTGGGTCCTGCCAACCATTCCAGCATTTTTATGTTGCCCAAGCTTATGATGGTTTCATGCTGTTGTGCAACAAATAAATTCCATCTTCTGTCTGCTTGGGGCAGGAGGTGACACAGCATTGAGGAGACCATGAGCCTGTCTGTAAATGTAATTTCCTTGCATTGCAGCAACTTCCCTGCTCGGGTGGGATAGGAACTGTTTAAAATATTTGATCCAAGCTGGGCTCCGTGGCTCAGCCTGTAATCCCGCGCTTTGGGAGGCTGAGGTGAGTGGATTGCCTGAGTCCATGGGTTCGAGACCCGCCTGGACAACTTGG